TAGAGAAAAGGGTGTGGGATGTCTTGACTCAAAATGGCAAGTAGCCTTTTAGTATCTATAATATCTATCAATATCAATATTTTAGTATCTATAGCCACTCTCTGGCAACCATAAAGCAACGCGGCAGTGACAGTGAATTCAGCTAATATGCACGATTTCTTTATGGAAAAAGTGAATTTTTACTTATGAAATCTAATTTTACTGATCTACTGTCGTGTTCTAATTAAATTTAGGGAAGATGTATTTAGTTGTACAACAAAATCAGAACATCTAAGTACCCTGATACCAGGATATTCTCTGAATTTTTTTGCTAATGTCAGATTACAAATGCTGTAGGCCTATGTATTGACTTGCACAATCATCATTTTGCATTTGATGTAAATTACTTTAAACCAGAGAAAAATAAATTGTCTTTATACATTGTAGAGAGAAATGAAAAATATCACTAAAAATGAAAAACAAGGAGAAGAGATAGAGAACAGACTGGAAGAGTCACAAACAAGTGAATCAAGAGAGTCACTGAAACGTAGACACAGCAGCATGGAGAATTTAAAACCAGATCGTAAGTATTTTATTACATTTACTCTCACTGCCCTGATGAATTCATGATTTCTCAGATTCAGACATGTATGTAAAATATGATCACAGGTCTGTTTCCTTTATTTCACTCTCCAGTCTCGCATGATCCAGTCAAACCTGCAGGGTCTCGTTCTCATGTATCAGAGACGCTTCAAGCAGTGGTGAGTTTATAACAGTTATTATGATATATCATCCTGTTGAATTGGTTCATGCATGTGTTTAAATATTTTTAATAAGAAGACTCTGCTCTCTCTTTTAGAAAACACTACACATTCATTTTTATCGCTGATATCTTCAACCAGAGGCTCCACATCTCCGTGAACCTAAAAAAAGGGAAGAATGGAAATCTTCAAGCAGCTCAGACGAAACAGAGTTTCTTGCCAGAATGGGTAATAGTTGAATTGACCTCTGTTTTCATGTACGTGAGTGCTTAGAAAGACCCATCCTGCATCGCCAAAAATCATGACTGAACCATTCAAGACCCTCTGCAGTTTGCTTTCCGAGCTAATGTTTCAGAGCAATGCCTTTATCTGCATCACCTGCACTACTGGTTAGTCCTTGCACCTGTTGTTTACATGCATCTCAGGTGATAAAATAACAATTATATACAATTATAACAACTAATGACAACTATAGTATTATAACAACTGTACTTGTTCTCAGCAGACTATCGTCTCAACCAAAACCAGTATTAATACCTGGTGTAAACAGGATGGTCCACAAGACTAAAACGGCTACTTAGAGATGAAGAGAGTATTTATGTTGCCACCATAGTGTCAAAAGAAATTGAATGTACTTATGCATGAATTCAATTTCTTGAGTATAAAGTCTAAACACATTCTCTGAGCATTACAATTACACTAAATAATATTTGTTCTGCTTAAGATGACAGTGTTTTGGACTTTACTGACATTTATCAATGTAGAGTCATGCACAAGTGAAGTCGTTGTAGAAATGCCTCTTATTAGCAGGCTTATTTGTTTCCTGTGTTTCATGGTGATGTGATCCATAGTGGCTCTGCTTTCTGTAGTATAAAACTGTTTTACACCACTGATTGGATTTATGGATCATCTATCGCATTTAGGTGTACATGATTTCAAACACAGCTTTCAAAAAATGTAAAACTTTTGTAAGTGAAAACGGTAAAAGGGTATAGTATTTTATTTAAATTTTAATTTCACTGTAAATGTTTCCCTACATTTTTGTCCTGTGTATCCTGACAGACAGTCCCATCAAAAAAAGGTTCCAGTTCCCTTTCATGTGTTTATTTGAACTCATACTGAATATCATTTAACATTATTATTATTATTATTAAGAGGGCATTATTACAATTATTTACTTTTAAAGGGGTCATATGCCCTGCCTTTCTGAAACGCGTCGATTTTTACAAAGCTCATCGGTCTGAAAAAGCGAGGTGTGCTCTGATTGGCCAGCTATCCAGTGCGTTGAGATTGGCCGAATACCTCAAGCGTGAGACGGAAATGTTACGCCCCTCACCATATTGTGATGATGTCCTGTCCGGCCGGAGCGACGAGACAAAAACATTAAAACCCATTACAAACGAGGCATTCGTTGCATCCAGTGGGGACATAATTACGGATTATAATGACTTATACTGTCTTTTTACGCGTTGCGTTGCATCGCGCTGCGTAAACATAAAACCATGTCTGCATTTGTGATCGGAGAAATTACAAACAACAAGCCCTACTCTAACGTTACACTGCCCAAAAAACTCGCTTTAAATATATAAAATATAAAAACTCTTTAAATATAAAA